TTTTTTTTTTTTTTTTTTTTGGTGGTACTGGGCCTAGAACCCAGGGCAATCTCACGAAGCTACATCCTCAGCCCTTTTTATTTCTTATTTTGAGACAAGTTCTCACAAAGTTACTAGGACGCCTGGACTGGGCTCCATCTTGTGATCCTCCTGCCTCAGCCTCCTGACTAGCTGGAATGACCGGCATGCTCCAGCCACACCTGTCCTGAGTGCATGTTTTGTAAGTTTTCTTCAGGCCTAAAATTTACAGGGTATGCCAATCATCTCGGTAATCTATATGATCACTGTTAATGCAATCTCTCTTTTTTGTTTGTTTGTTTTTTTGAGACAGGGTCTCACTATGCAGTTCAGACTGCTCTGGAACTCACTGTGTAGCCCAGGCTGGTCTCGAACTCGAAGCAATGCTCCTGCCTCAGCCTCCCAAGTGCTGGGATTACAGACACGCGCCACCACGCCTGGCTTTTTTATTGTGATAAAATGCGGCTCTCTGGGGGGACCCCGTTCAGCGGGGAATAGGAGGTGAGAGCCGCCTCTTATTCGTGGGTCATCAGAGGCCGATCCGATCTTGAATGTCTGTGAAGGAAATCTTTAAGAAGTTAGAGCACACGGCCCAAGTCTGATTTCTGATCAAAGGCTCTTTATTGGCTCAGCAAAACGATTATATACTGTTATCCCAGGGGGAAGGTTCAGCAAGCTTATTGGACAGTTCAAACAAATCTTCTACCAATCACATGAGTCACTCAAGCATTTAACCATAAAGGGACAAAGCATTTATCAGCATACAGCAATCAGTATTTTACCAAATGTGGGGAGGGGTAAGTGGGAAGGCGTACATCAACAGTTAACCCTATGCAATCTTTAACTTAACAATCTCTAGGGGCAAGCAGGACAAGGAAATACCACCGGCCTCCTGCTCCAGATCCCGTGACCCTGTGGTTAGCACAAAGGGCTATTTTTTCTGTAAGATTCCCTGTTTGCCCAGGGGCTAGACCTGCCAAAAGTCACGTATGTAGTCTAGTGGGATTTTTCCACCGAGGCAAAGGCTAAGGTTGAGGGCAGCCATCTTATGCAGGCCCAAGCAGTCTCTCACAATAAAATACATAAAACATAAAATTTACCAACAGAGACACTTCACAATGTCCAGCAGCCACCACCTCTATTAGTTCCCGAACATTCCACCACCCCGTAGGAAGCCCCATCTGTCTCCACGAGCAGGCACTCCAACCCCTCCCAGCCTCAGCACCCACAAGTTCACTTCCTGTCTCTGGGTCGCCAGTCCCGGGCATTTCCGGTCCAGGAAGCTCACATTGTACAACGGCAGGGTTGCTATTTAATGCCACCAGACCCGGGCTCTTTGGGTGTCTGGGTCCCTGCTGCAGCTTTTCGTGGCCTCCACAGGCATCCTACCCGGCCTTATCAGAACAACTCACTGTCATTAGGCCCTCAGGAAATTCTCCCCAAAACCGGGGCAGAGGCAGAGCCCAGGAGCTGGGCTTTCCTGTGTCGGGTGAAACTCATGTCACAGACTCAGCCACTCTGCCCAACCGCCAGACAGGGAAACTGAGGCCCAGAAAGGTCCAGGGTAGAAGGAGAAAGTTAGGGACCACCCAGGAGAGACCACAGTGGTAGGTACTTGTATCACATCCACCCCACATGGGGCCACTCAGCAATGTCGGCCACACCGCTGTCTCGGATCCACATGGTGAAAAGCTTTCTGTCTCCTCCAACCGGAAGATCTGGAGCAATTAAGGAGGCACTGCAGCCACCTCGACCACGGAGGGTACTGTCAGGGGATCCGGACACAGGGAGGCCTCCGAGATTAGGAGAGGGTGGGGACTGGGGGACATCAGTTTCTTTTAATGCAAATGTGGAAGGGACAGGGAGGATTCAGAGCAGAGAAAGACCCACACCTGACTTTCACAAAGCTCCTTCAGCTGCCACCTGGGCAGAGAAGAGGCAAAGGCAGGAGGGACGGGGAGGCCGCACTCAGGTGAGCAGAGACGGAGCCCTGGGGGCTTCAAAGCACAGAAATGTGCCTGGCAAGGCTCTGGCAGCCAGAATTCCAAAATTCAAGTCTCCGGGCCGTGGAGGCTCCGGGCAGTTCCTTGCTGCCTCTCCTGGTGTCAGGGCTCCGGGTGTTCATGGGTTTGCGTGCCCAGCCACAGCCAGCCCTCTGAACCAGGGCATTTGCCCAGGGTTAGGACCCTGGAATCCTTTCGGGGTCCCCAGGTCAAAGTCACGCATAGACAAAGATTCACCCACAGTTCAAGATCATTGCATTTTAATAGAACGCAGGAAAGAGAGCAGTTCGTAACACGCACGTGTCTGGTGCGGGGGTGAGAACACCCATTATCCCTGAAAAGACCAGTCCCATCCTCCTTTCTCCTTTCTCTCTGACTAGCCGGATTTTCTACCCACGTATCAAGCAATATAACCTCTAGAAATAGGCTGGCTGGGTGTGGTGCAGGCTGTTACCTCAGCACTTAGGAGGCTGAGGCAGGAGGATCACAAATTTGAGTCCAGTTTGGGCAGCTTAGTGAGACCTTGTTTCCAAAAAAAGGAGGGGAAAAAAAGAAAAGCTGGGCCTGTGAAAATTTTCTAAGAATTCTGGCGCTGCCTCTTGTTGCTGTTTTCGGTCTCTTCCTGTTGTCATGGCAACTGTCGACCATCACGGAGCCAGGAATCATCCAGGGACACACGGGGCAGTAAGATATCCTCAGCCTTTAGGTGGTCCAAGGTCAGCTCTGCTGCCCTGGTAGAGTGGCCGAGTGGGTCCAGTGTCACCATATGCTGTCCCTGGGGCCAAGTAGGCAGCAGCCACTGTCCTGACTGCCAGCACCTCAAAAACCAATGACAGGCCGGGCATGGTGGCGCATGCCTGTCATCCCAGCACTTGGGAGGCTGAGGCAGGAGGATCGCTGTGAGTTCAAGACCAACCTGGACTACACAGTGAGTTCCAGGGCAGTCTGAACTACATAGTGAGACCCTGCCTCAAAAACAAAAACAATGACAGAAGGCCAGGGATTTAGCTCAGTGGCATCACGCCTGCCTCAAGCTCAAGGTCCTGAGTTTGATCCCCAGTATCAAAAAAAAAAAAAAAAAACAATGACAGAAAAACAGAAAAAGGAGGAATAAGAAAATACCAAGAACTGGGGAGGATGTGATACAGAAAAAGAAGAACAGTTCAGGTTCACCGTGGGAACACGACAGACCCCAGGCAGCAGCTGTGAGAAACAGCCTGCAGCTCCTCAGAAAGGGTGCTGTCATCCCAGCTACTCAGGAAGCTGAGGCAGGAGGATCTCAGGTCCAAGTCCAGCCTGGGCAACTTAGTGACTCTGTGAGACTGTGTCTTGAAATTAAAAATTAAAAAGGGTTGGGGATGTAGCTCAGTGTGAAGACCCCTGGGTTCCATCCCCATTGCCATACACACACACACAATTATAGATTATGTGAATTTTATGTCACTTAAATAAAATTTCTTTTGAGACAGGGTCTCACTATGTAGTTGACACTGACCTGGAGCTCACTATGTAGCCCAGGCTGGTCTCGAACTCACAGCGATCCTCCTGCCTCAACGCCCGGCCTTCTCACTTAAATTTTAAAAAGCAGGGGACTAGAGATTTAGCTTGGTGGTTCCACCGCCTGCCTTGCACGCACAAGGACCCGAGTTTGGTCCCCAGTACAAAAAAAATTTTTTTATTTAAAGCAGAGACGCTTTTTCAGACTTGATAGAAGAGATGTGACAACAGCAGAAGGATCAGAAAGATGCTGTGTTCCTGGTCCTGGAGGTGGAGGACAAGGCGGCGTCCAGGGCAGGGACGGGTTCTCCCCGGTTCTCCCCGGAGCTCGGCAGGGTCAGCCCCACCGTCTGTGTCCGGCCTCAGGCCCGGGAGGCCGCTCAAACTGTCCCCCAGGGAAGAGAAGGGCCACCTTCCTGAGCCCGCACTAGCATCACCCGCTTTTCCTACCCGAGGAGCCAGCAGTCGGCAGAGACGCCCTGGAGCCCCGCGGGCAGCACTGACCCAGCACCCGAACTGTGCTTTCTGCAGCTGCCGTCCACCGGCCCCAGGGAAAGCACGGTGACGAGGGACCCGCGGGCCAGGGCTGCAAGGGGAGTTGCGCTGACCCGCGGGCTGGGGCTGGGG